AGCCCTAAGCAAGAGGTGGAGGAGGGAACAGCAGCTGATCCACACTCGCTGGAGCCCAGAGACTGCAAAGGAGCAGAGGCGGGGACGGGGCACCGAGTGCCCAGCTTCACCCCAGTGGCCTGGGCAGCTGTGGAAGGCTCCTGAGCTGGGCTTTGGAATATTAAGCTGTTAGAAATGTGCACAACGCGGCCGGGGTGGGCGCAAGGACGGGCTGGGGAGCGGTGCGGGGAGTGCGTGACGGTGGATGCTAAGGAGCATGTCAGGCCACAGCTGCAAGCTCCCGGAGCGGGTGCTGGCCGGGGCCTCTCAGCGCCCAAGGGGGCCCTTCCGGCTGTCTCCTCCCGCCCCTGAGCGGCACCCCTTTCTCTCTTGTGCTGGGACCCGGGTTCTGGGCCTCTCCCTCGGCTTGGCCCGGCAGACACTGGGCCTTTGGACTCTGGGCAACCCTTCCCGGGCCTGGCCCCTGTAGCGTGTGGCCCAGGCCCCCACGCAGCAGCAGGAACAGGACGAAGGGGGGCTGAGGGCAACCGCGAGGGGCAGGCGGTGTCCCAGGCCAGCCGGCCACACCGCCACGGGCAGAAAAAGCCACACGCTCAAGAGAAAAAGAGGAAAGCAGAGCAGAACGTCACGCTTCGGGCAGCGGCCCCTGAGCGCGGCCACGGGGCTGGGGCGGGGGGCTCCCCACCTTCTCCCTCCCTTAATTCGCCGACAGGTCGCTGGTCCTGCTGGCCAAGTGGCTGCTTCTACTTCTGTGACTGCCTCTGGCAACCCCCCTGTGTCCCCCAACTTCCAGAGAGGGGCGGTTTCCGTGGGGGTGAATGAAGGCCACCCAGGAGCCAGGGGCCCCGGCTGAGCACACTAGGAACGGTGGGGAGACGCTCAGAACCAAGGGCTTGGGGAACACTGAGCTCCCTGGGGAGGGGGCGGCGGGCCGGCCCCACGGTCCCGGAGCTGGAGGCTTCTCTGGGGAGCAGTGGGACGGGAGGCGGGGAGGGCGGGCCGGCCGGGCTGGAATGTTACAGCTTCTGTTCTCCAGAGAGCTCCCGAGCGCCCGCCCGCCTGCGGCTCCGGCTGATCTGATAAGATGTGACAAGGCATCCTGAAAAATGTTGAAACCTGTAAAATGTTGAAACCTGTTTTTTGTTGTGTTGTGAGTGGAGGGGTTTTTCCCCCCTCAAATTCACAGGAAAGCGGAGGTGATCGGCGCAGAGAAGGGGAGGGCAGTGGAGAGGGATTGTCCCCTTCAGCCAAACTGGGGGGCTCCGAGCAGGACTCTGGGTCTGGGGAGGAGGAGAGGAGGGTGAGAACTGGGAGACGTGGGGGAAGAGGTCTGAGAAAGTGGGGGGCACGCGTGAGCAGAGAGAGGGGACAGGGGCTCCCGCAAAGCCGCTGCAGCTTGGGTCTCCTCAGGCCGCCCTCCCTCGGCCCAGCGAGGGCAGGTGAGCTGTGGGTGTCTCCCTGCAGGCAGGTACTGGCTCGGGAGGGCTCATCAGGGGCAAGGAAGCTCCAGGGCCCAGGTGGGTACCCAGAGGGGATATAAGGGGGCCCCCAAGGGGTCTCCTGAGAGGCACCAAGGCCACAGGCAGGCAAATGTTTGCAGGTGACTGCAGAGCGGGACACGGCTCCCAGGTGCACTTGTTTTGCCGAACAGGTCAGGACTCAGGTGAGTCCGAGCGGCCTCGCTTGCTCGGGGGAGTCCTGCCCGTCCCATGTGGGCCACGGCCATGCGGGCTCTGCGGGCACACAGAGGAGTCGTGCCATCTGATGTGCCATCTGACTGATGACACGACAACAGACAGCAGCCAAAGACATCAAATGACGGGCTTTGCGCCACTGCACCCCCGCCCACTTGTTTGGGGTGATTTTCCTTAAAGTTCCCTGTAGATGGGTTCAATCTTTCCAACTTGAAAGATGCTGAATATTCCAGAAACCCCATTGGGACCTGGTTTCTCTGGGGTGTTCACTGGGCAGATGCTCAGGAAAGGTTTGCTGAATCAAAGTCTCTGCCTGAGAAGGTTCTCCTGCTGCCGTCATGCTAGTTGGAGGGAGGGACTGGGCAGAGTCGTCCAGAAGATATTAGAAGCCTCTGTAAACGGCCACACGTTAGTTATTCTGTCAGAGTGTGAGGCCCATGTTGGGCAGCGCCTGGGGCATCATCTAGTACAGTTCCTTGGGGTGCTGGAGCGCAGAGAAGCCACGTGACCTGCGTAGGCTTTGGACACACAGACTGTCTCCCTTACAGCACCGCTTTGCTTCTCAAAGCCTCCAGTCTGAGGCCCAGGGCCTCAGAACACGTGAACTGCCCTCCTTTTCCAGTGTGCCTAAGACCTCCTTTCCAGTGTGGCCTCCACCCTCCTCGGTGTGCAGAAGACACAGTCCCACAGGCCACCAGTACCTCCCGGCCCCACTCCACCCACCAGAATTCTCGCCTGCACTCTTCAACCTCACACACAGCATTAGCTCCTTTTAGCCTTGTAACACTTTGCCCTTCCCAAGTCCTCCAGCCCCTAGGCTATAGAACGCAGGGGTCAGGGACTCCCTGGGTGTGCAGGGATTAAAGTCGCAGCACTATGAAGCTATCGCCAGCCACTGCAGAAAGAGTTCGATCCCCAGAAGGGAGCTAACCCACATGACACAGCAGACCCCTCTTTTCTCACCCGCTGCTCCCCTCAGCAGTGTATTTCAGTAGATCCATCGGTTCTGCTCCCCACTCTGGTGAATCCTTTCACTACCCGCCCCCCACACCTCCAACCTACACCCCAGTTCTTGTATGCATAAATAAATCTTTAGAATGCAGGGGTCTCCCATTTTACAGATGGAAAAACAAGGGTCTTACAGGGCTGGTTCCCAGGCTGGAAGTTTGCTGGGTTCCCGTACTGCTTTATCTCCAAGCCGTGGTTAAAGATAAGGCGGCCTTCCCAGCCTTTCTGCTCTCTTTGGATTCCTATTCATCCTTCAAGATCCTATTGAAAAATCCCCTCTTGATATATACAGTTTAAACTGTTCCCTTCGTGCTTCCCAGAAACACATTCAGTTGAAATGCACATTGACTCTGTTTCTCTGCTAAAACTGAGTTTTTTTGAGAAGGGGAATAGATCCTTCCTTTTAGTGTGGGAGCAAAGTTCACTCTGGCTCACCAATGGGTACAGCACCCCTGTTCCTCTTAGCCCACAGAGCAGCTCCTCCAGACCACCCCAGCCATTGTCTTCACTTTCCCCAAACCTGGCAGGCTGCCAACAGGGAAAGTGGAGGGGGCAGGTGAAGACCCTCGTGGTTTTCTGGGTGTTTTTTGATGGCCCCGCAGTCTGGAAATTCTTTGATTCTTGGGAAGAAGCCCAGGAGGGAACGTGGAAGGCAGGGCCGCTTTGCTCAGCTGGGAGTTCACTCCAGTTGCTCCCCAAGGCCCCTCCAGAAGCCACTGCCTGGTGTGTCCTCACTCAACAAACACACCTGTCCAGGCCCTGTGCTGGGCCTGGGAGCCCCCAGATGTGAGCAGGGCCCTCCTGGTCTGGCAAGAAGGCCCCGCTAAGCCAGAAGCTACCCCCAGCTAGCCCATACTCCTCCCATCCTGGGGCCCAAATGCCTACCCACCCGCCGGACACCCGGACAGCACTGACCACAGCCCTGGTGAGGGCCTGACCCAGTCCGTGCACAGCCCGGCAGAGGAGCAAAGACCTTTGCCAACTTGGCCAAGGTGCTCAAGTCACTAGGGGTGATTTTGAAAAATATGGACACCTGCACTCCAGAGCCAGCCCCAGCCCCAGCCCCACTGAATCAGACTCTCCAGGAGGAACCCGGACAGTGAATCACAGAAAACCTCCCCAAGAGCGTGACAATGGCACAAGGTATGAGCTGATGCAAAGCGGAACACCCAGCACCCCCTAGGGAGTTCTCTGGCCAAGGATGTTTATTTTGAATCTCATGGAGATTTGAGAAGTAACTTTCAGCTGTCAGGGCACATGAGGGATAGAGGAACAAATCCAGGGGCACCAAGGGGAAGCAGCCAGACAAGTCCCGTGTGGGGGACCGTCCACGTGCTACAGGCCTGAACTCGCCAAAAGCCAAAAAGCCCAGGTCATTTTTTAAAAGTGTGTGTGTGTGTGTGTGTGTGTGTGTACCCGCGCGCATGTGCGTGTATGTGCATGTGCGTGTGTGCTGATGTGCGTGTGTGCGCATGGGGTTATGTGGGGAGAGATGGCTCAGCTTAACAGCAACTTAAGAGACATAACAATCCAATCAATGAAACCCAGAGTGAAATCCCAGCCACGCCGGCCTCCGAGGCCAGCGGGGGAATCTGATTCATTAGAAGTCATGCATAATTTTGTTAAGTGTGATAATGGTATGTGGTCGTGGGAGTCATCCTTATATTTTGGAAGTGCAGGCCTGAAGAGTCATGATGACTAATTTACTTTGAAATGGTTCAGGAAAAACAAAACCAAAAGCCGGCTGGGGGAGGGGCGCGCGCGGGTGACAAATGCTCAGCAGCCGCGCTGGGAGGCGGCAGCACATGTGCTCCTTGGGGGCCTCTCCTGACTGACCATTTTCATTAGAAAACTTTGAAGGAACAACAAGACAACAACTCCAGCCCCCCCCCCCACCCCCGGCGGGACCTCCGGACTCCAGCCTCGGGGTTCGGGCGCTGCGCCCCGGCCGGCAGGAGCCCGGGGGGCGGCGTCCGGGGCAGGCGCCCCCCGCGCAGGTGCGCACGGCCGGGCACGGCGGGCGGCGCTCAGGGCAACGCTCCCCTCGGTGCCTTTCAAGGTGGGTATTTCCACCGCATTCCCCGGCCTCTTCTCGCGCTGGTCCCCCCACGGCGCTGAGCACGCGCAGGTGAAGACAGCCCTGCCCGGCACCTGGGCTCCCGCCCCACCCCCGCTCCGCCTGGGGAGGCTCCACGCAAGTTCAAAGCGGAGGCTGCCCCTCCCTCCCGGCCCATTCCCCATCCACAGGCGAGGCCGCCAGAGCGAGCCCCAACGGCTTCCCTCGCGCCGCCCCCCACCGCCGGCCCAGAAGCCCCGGAGTCCTGCCGCCCACCCCTGGGCAGGGTCGGCGCCTTCTCCCCGGCCTCTCCGGGAGCGGCGCCCACAGGTACTGGGGGTTTCAAGCATCCATTCGGCGCCTTAATTCAACTAGGAGCTGCCGCCGGGGTCGTGCAGGCCCTCATTGAATTTTGTAGCACTAAGAGGGGTAACCCTGGCTGCAGGGAAAATGGCTGTGGGGAGCGGGGCCCCATCTTCAGAGAAATGCATTTAATTGGTCTGAGGCCTCCAGGCCTTCGCTGAGGCAAGATGGAGCAGCCCTGTCCTAGGTCACAAACAAGGCTCAGAACCTGCCGCTGTCCCAGGGAGGGGGCAGCCCTGTGCATCCGCCCCCGGGCCCCACCCTAGTGTTGCCAGCACCGCTGGCCACTCCACCAGCCGCTGTCCACCTCCTCTCATGCGGTGGCCCTGCCTCAGCTCTCGCCTTTGGCCTCCCAGCAAATCTCCATCTTTACAGCAATGGAAGCAAAACTTTTTGATCCAGCAGCACATCAGTAAAAAGTGTTTGGGCTTGCCCCGCGTTTACATCCTCAGGTGTAAATCACATGCCAGCCTCGGCCCAGGCAGTGCATGCGCATGACAAAACACATGATAATTCTCAGGAAGGACAAGATAAAACTATTTCCAAGAAAAATCACTTCACCCTAGTGCCTTCCAGATCCTCCTCCTTTGGTTTCTCCTGCCCTATATTCCCTTCTCCCTAATTTCCACTTGCTGCTTAATTTGTTGCAGTGCATGGAGAGCCCTCTCTGCAGACATGCTCAAGGTCAACAGGCACTCTTGGGGTTTAAGTTTCCAAGGTTTTTCTCTTACTGGGGTCCACAGTTTTCTCCATTCTTGTACTGGAGAACTCAGAGTGGTCAGTATTATTAATAATAATAGCTAATATTCATTGAACCCTGACTAGTGGCAGAAGCCGTGGAAAACTCTTTACATAGAATATATCATTTAATTTGCCAGAGAGCCCTCCGAGGTTATCCTCAACCCTATTTGATGAGAACCGGGGTGTAGGCCAGAGGTGCAGGGGTGTAGGGGGGTGAGAGGATCCACCAGAGACAGAGTGGGGAGCAGAACAGCAGATCTACTGAAATACACTGCTAAGGGGAGCAGCGGGCGAGTCAGGAGAGGTCTGCTGCGCCATGTGGGTAGCTCCCTGAGTGGGGATCGAACTCAGGCCTAAGTGACTGGCAACAGCTTGATAGTGCTAGACTTTAACTCCTGCGCCACCAGGGAGGCTCTCCATTCTTGATCTTGCCCACAGCTAGTGTGTGGGGGGAAGGGAAGGGGACTAGGACTTCTGGTTCTCCAGGCACTTTTCACCAAAAAAGTGGAGCCCCCTGGCCACCTCCTCTCCTGTCCTTCCATCACTGAGCACAACAACCCCCTCACCTGCCAGACCAGGCACGTGCCCACGCCCCGGGCTGGTGCTGTGGGAATGTTTGCATTTTCAGTCCTGTGCCCTGGTCACATTCATTACAAAAGCAGTAAGGAATTTCTTCCAGGAGAAAAGACACTTTGGAAAAGTGTCTGCTACACACCCACACACATCCACACAGCAAGCATTTAAGTAAGCAGCTTTTAATGACCAATTTCTCCACAAATACAGGGACAAAAGAGCAGAGCAGGTTACTTCCACCTGAAGTTCCCCCAGGCATCCCGGCTGGCCCCGAGAGACAGCCAAGCCATCCCAGCCAGGAGAGGCTCTAAGAGGACGGTGAGGTAATGGGGTCACTCAGGGCTGTAACTAAGATAAAGGGGAGCTTTTACAGGTGCATACCCAGTGGTGAATAAGTAATGTGGGTGTGTTTATTTGGGTAGAGAGTGGCTAATAAGGTCATGAGGAAATAATTTACTGAACTTTGCCATAAGTAAGGCAGTGAGGGAACCAATTTCCTGGGGTACTCAGAACGCTCAGTATTATTAATAATAACAGCTAATATTCCTTGAGCCCTGGCAAGTGCCAAGAGCCATGGAAGAATCTTTACATAGAATATATCTTTTATTTTTATTTTTTGAAGGTTTATTTATGCAAATAAGAACTGGGGTACAGGCCAGAGGTGCAGGGAATGAGAGGATTCACCAGAGACAGAGTGGGGAACAGAACAGGCAGATCTACTGAAATACACTGCTGAGGGGAGCAGCAGGCGAGTCAGGAGAGGTCTGCCATGCCATGTGGGTAGCTCCCTGGCCGGGGATGGAACTCGTGCCGTAGTGGCTGCGGACAGCTTCATAGTGCAGTTCTGAACCCCTTGCGCCACCAGGGAGGCCCCAAACCAGATATATCTTTTAATTTGCCAGAGAACACTGAGATTCTCATCCTCACCCCTATTTGACAAGTGACGACAGAGAGGGGAAGTAACTTATCTGGGATCACCCAGCTAGAAAAGGGTAGCATTAAAGTGGCTCCTATCACAATGAGAGGAGACATTTATTAGGATCAGGCCTATTTGGAGCTACTTGGTGGAGGGTTGAAGGAGGAGGGGAAGGAAATACTCAGGTCTGTCCTGCTACTCAGGCTGCTGGCTGGATTTATAGGCCTGTAAACCCAACGCAGGCCCTTCCTAAGGAGCTTTTTCTCTTTTGAAAGTTGTCATGGATCTTCCACACTTGCAGTTTGGTTCTCTGTGTCTCAAACATGGCCAGGCCCACACTGAAGGCACCCCGGGGCCTCTTTCTTAGGGCTGGAGGGGCTTATGTGTGAGACAGGACATGTGAACTCAGGACCTGTTGGCAACAGTGGGCATCGAGTGCCCAAAAGAGGGAAGGGTGGATGGCAGTGACCCAGCACTTTCCCCACAGAGCACCCCAGCTGAGCCTCTTGACAGCCCTGAGTGACTATTTCTTCACAAAAGAAGCTGAGGCTCAGATGGGACCATAAGGGGATTTGACCCCTCCCATCTGTCTGAGCCCAAATCCTGTACTCTCTGGATCCCAGCCCATTCATCCCAGCGGAAAGCACTTATTCGGCACCACTGTATGCACTGCATCCAACACGGCACCAGGAGGGGGGCTGTAATTTCAGGGCAGGCCACATGCGCATGGATGCAGGAGCAGAGGACACGTGCCAGGACGCTGGCCAGCTTATACCTCATGCTGGTGGAGATGGAGGGGTGGCTGGGCACACAACATGATGGGGTGAAAAATCTACAAGACCTCAGAGCCCAGTGCTCTGAGAGAAAAGGGGGAGAAAGGGCACTTCGGAGACACTGATGTGACCCCCCCAGACATGAAGCCCAAGGGGTTGATGAGTTCTGAGCCCGCGGGCTGGGATGTGCAAACCGCCCGTGGGCTGGAAGAAGGCCTGCCCGGTGTGGGCTGGCCCCGGGGAGAAGCCTGTTGGCACCAGCCCGTGGCTGGCTCCCAGGTGACTTTCTGCTGTGTAGGCGCAAAGTGAGTTCTGCCTCATGATCTTTGTCTTACGGGGTCTACCCCCTGGGCCTCTCGAATAACCCAAGTTTATATGGGTGTGCTCTTTTGCGAGCTGCACGTGCACGTAAAACCCAACCACACAGTGTCTGGGGTTTCCATCTTGTTGGTGAGGATAGAGGATAAAAAAATATCCCTTCCCCGTGGGGTCACTCCAGGGAAAAGGAGGCACAGAGCAGCCCCCCACCAGCAGTCAGCATGTGCATGGGCAGCGTCTCCAGCACTCCGGCGTCCCAACCCGAAAATGCAAACATCATCTACTTCCCCGAGACTAGAGGGAGGCGTCATGGAAACGCAGTGCCTGGTGGTTGCTATTGTGAGTGCCCACGGGGGTCAATGCCATTCTGGGCGCCAGGCGCTGTTCCATGCACTGCGCACTAGTAACTCATTTAAATCCTCCCAACAACCCGGCTCTAATCATCAGCCTCATCTGGACAGGGAAACAGATTAAGTGATTGATTATTTACCTGCAGTTGCCAGGTAGCAAGACAACATCCTATCTGGTTCCAGAGCCCAGGAAGCTTAACTGGTAGGGTTTAACCACAGCACCCTGCCATTCTCTGCGAGGGGTGGGAGGACAGCTCCATCAGGCACAGCCAGTGAATGAGCACCCACTCGGGGGCCACAGAGAGGTGAATGTGACAGCTCCCTGCCCTGCAGGATCCCCCAGTCTCACAGGGAGATAGCACCTAAGAAGCATATTACAGGAGACCGAACACCAGGGTGATTCCATTCAACCAGGGGTGGGGGTGGGGGATGTTGGGGGCACGGTGGTGGTGAAGAGAGGTTGGGGGGGAGGGGTCAGGCTCTGCCCCAGGGCACAAAGACTGGCTGGTTTTGGTTTCTGAGTGCCTCACAGGGCAGGTCAGCCAGGAGGGAGGCTCATTCATTCATTCATTCATTCGTGAATGCAGGCACCTTCTCACTCAGTCTCAGCAGTGGGTGCTCTGGCTGAACTAGTTCTCACAGGATGAGTTTGAAAAGCCAGAGGAATCGCAATCCGGTTGCTGAGAAGAATAAGACCACAAGGACAAACTAAAAGGGTAATAATTGTTACTTGAGGGGGAAAGGAACTTCAAGGCTAAATACTTTTGGAAAACAAGATTAAACAAATGAAAACAAGGGTCACCCCCGCAGGGCCTCTCTGGGTGGTTAATATGCTAATGAGATGCTAATATGCTAATGAGCACCGTGAATACCTAGATGTTGGAAGTAGCAGGGGGTACTTTCCAAGCTTATTTGACCCCAGAAGTCATTCAGCAGGAATGCGGGGCTGTAAGAAGTTCTGTAAGAGCGTTTTGCAACATCCTCCCCTGGCCCAAAAGGTGTGCAGAAGAGGCAAGAGCAGGGCAGTGAGGCCCAGATGATTCCGGGAAGACGGAGACTCTGAGCTGCATTTTGAAAAATCCGGGTGAGGTCAAGGCCAGTCATTGGAGTGATGGGAAGAGCTTCTCAATTGGAAAGGAGTCTTAAGCCCCTTTCATCTTTACAGGAAAGCCCTAGGAAGTGGAGTTGCGCCCTGGGCGGAGGAGGTGGGAGGAGCCAAGAAAGGCTGAGAGCCCCTGGCTTTTCTTTCCTGGCAGAAAGAGTCAGTGTTTGGATAAGGGTTTGGGGTAAGGATTCACCTTTGGTTTTCCCTGAAGTGGCACCTGAGAGAAGTTATTGCAGCAACTCTGGTGGGGTGGCCCTTTGGGCCAGAAGGGCAGGGGAAGGGTCAGGAGGGGAATGTGCCCTGAGCTTGGCAGACTGAGCCTCTAGCTAGGACTGGCATGGTTTCCAGATGGCAGGCAGGGTGTTCAAGACCCTTCAGAGTGCACTGGAGGGGCAGAAAGGGGAAGCAGGCTAGGAGGTGACCAGGGAAGAGATGACTGGGCCAAGATTGCCTCTCCCTGTCCTATAACAAAATGACCAGTGGCAGCCCCTGGGCAGACATGTGAGGAGCTCAAGGGACTGAGCTCCCGGTGTGGGCTGGCCCCAGGGAGGAAATTTCCATCAGACACACCAGACAAAATGGTTTTTATGTGTTGACATGAACGCTGGGGCCCTAGCCCTGCCTCTGCTTTTTCCCTGCTGCAGGAACTTAAAGCATTTCTGCAAACGGAGACCACAGACCATGCTTTTTAGCTACCAGATTGACAAAGATGAAGTCACTTGATCCAGGTGTCAGTGACCTGGTGACTATGGAGAGCAAAGATGACAGTGCAAATGGCCACGGCCTCCTTGGAACACAGCGTGACATCCACTTGCAAAGCAGAACATTCACACCTCTGCCACCCACAGTTCCACTGCAGGGCAGGTATCCCTAGCAGCTATTCTTGTTCAAGTGTAGACAAGTTGTGGTATACCCAGACAGTTCAGCTGTGAAGGCACTCCAGAGAGACTAGCAGTCAATGAGACAGAAGGCAGAACAACAATAAAGAGATGTCAACACAAATAAAAGCGAGTTCTTTGAAAAGATCAATAAACTTGATTAATAAAATGGAGACTTTAAGTTAGACTAACCAAAATGTATTAAATACATATTCTGGTAGTGTTAGGGGGAAAGGATGTCCTGAGCTAATTCCATGCAGGCTTTGTGGACTCCACCCCCACGCCAGACCAAAGCCATCAGGACATTGGGAAAGACAAATCCAGTCACCACCAAAGGGAAGGGAAGGTGGCTGGGACCTGAGGGTGGAGTGAAGCAGCCAGGGTTGGTATAAAAACCAAACACGTGGGCCTTGGGCTGGCTCGCTCTGTCGCTCGCCTCCTGGCTTCACGACTCCTGGCTGGCGGCCAGCTCTCAGAGCGCCATTTGGGGTTCCAGATTGGCGGATTGGGTAGGACGCATTTAAAACATTGTCTCCCACTTTTCTCCCTGAGCTGTCCATTTCCTCATTTCCCCTTCCCTTGTAAATAAACCTTTTATTAACCTTTCACGTGTGCCTGCAGTAGAGCACTGATAAGTCCTTTTAAGCACGCGGGTGAGGACCCACCGTCAGGCACCCCGTTTTGTATCGGGGCTGCCCTATAACAGTTGGAGCTGAGAGTTTTACATTCTGAGTGACAAAGAAATCACTTATACGGAATTTAACAAGGACAGAAAAGATACACTGAAGTTCAAGGTTGCTGATGGTCCTGGCAATAAGAATGATAGTGCCCCAAACTTGTTAGGGCTATGAGTGGGGAAAAAGTCACTTCCAAACACAAACACACACACACATAGAAAATGAAGTCACTCCACTGATACCCACTTCAGCAGTCAAGTCCCTGGGGCTGGAGCCCAGGTCATGTACCAAATTGTGGGGGCCTGCGAATGAATCTGACTACAACTTGACTTTGTTGGCCTGGATTTCCCCATGCCCAAGGTCAAGGAGCAGCCTGGATTTGCGTAAGGCTGGCACCCAGCCACCCCAAAAGTATATCAGCTCCCCCCCCACCCCACCCCCCGCCCCACCACCCTGTCACCACCTCTCTTCCTGCTGTTTAGCAGGACTCTGCCTCCAGGTTGAAGGTGGTGATGACTGTCTGCACCTGCATCTGACCCTGGCCTCCTGCCACCCCCGCCACACTTACTCACCGCGCTTAGCAGGCTGAAATGGCCAGTGTCTAAACCATTAACTCGGGTCATTAAATCCACACAGACCAGTCCTTGGAGCCCAGCAAAAGCTCCAACAACCATGTTTGGTTCACCTTCCTTCCCAAAAATGGGAGGCCTCTGTGAGTACTGAACAGGCCTCTGTGAGTACTGAACAGGTAACACCAGAGTCCACATGGCCTTGGTGCCACTGAGTGACAGGCTCAGAAGCCACATGCCCATCACCCACTAATTTCTTCAAACAGGTTAATTAATTGGGACAAACAAACAGGAAATGTATGTCTTTCCCTTCATGAGGCCTCTTCCCAGTTGGGAGGAACTGACATGTTTCTGTGGCAGAGAAGCTTGTCCTGGTATAGGATAATTTTTTATAACCCTTGCTACATTGGCATGGCCTTCAGAACATACTTAGTTCAAGTGATGTTTATTCACCTTTAACTCCGTTCCTGTGTATTGTTTTATTTCATCCCCATAGCTGCCTGAGAGAATTTTTTTTTTAATTTATTTATTTGTGCATACAAGAATGGGAGTACAGGCCAGAGGTGTGGGCAGTGAGAGGATTCACCAGAGACAGAGTGGGGAACAGAACAGACAGATTGACTGAAGTACACTGCTGAGGGGAGCAGCGGACGAGACAGGAGAGGTCTGCTGTGCCATGTGGGTAGCTCCCTGGCCAGGAATCGAACTTGTGCTATAGTGGCTGCGGATAGCTTCATAGGTTGCATCCCAACCCCTTGTGCCACCAGGGAGGCCCCAGAGAGAGCAGATTTTTTTTAAATTTAAGATTTATTTTATTTTATTTTTTTTTTTTATTTTTTTTTTTAAATTTATTTATTTATTTGTTTGTTTGTTTATACAAGCACTGGGTACAGTCAGAAGCGCGGGAGGGTGAGAGAATTCACCAGAGCCAGAGCAGGGAGCAGAGCAGGCATAAGGACCGAAGTACACTGCTGAGGGGAGCAGCGGGCGGCAGGAGAGGTCTGCGCGCCATGTGGGACCCTCCTCTGGTGGCCAGGGAGCAGCCGGGGATCGAACCGGCGCTGCATGAGGCTGCGGGCAGCTTCGCAACCCAGCGCTCAACCACTGCGCCACCAGGGAGGCCCAAGATTTATTTTATTTATACAAGAACTGGGGTACAGGCCAGTTGCACGGGAGGGTAAGAGGATTCACCAGAGACAGAGTGGGGAACAGAACAGGCAGAATGACCGAAGTACACTGCTGAGGGGAGCAGCGGGCGAGTCAGGAGAGGTCTGCCCCACCATATGGGTTGCTCCTCAGCCAGCGGGGATCAAACCGGCACCGGAGACGCTGGGGACAGCTTCATAGTGCTGCGCTCAACCGCCTGCACCACCAGGGAGGCCCGAGAGCAGAATTTTTAACCCCATTTTACAGATGAGCAAATTGAGATCCAGAAATTTCTAAGAAACTACCTGAAGTGCCAGTCCTAATAAGGCAACACATGTGAGAGACACCACGGGCAGTCTGACCCCTCTTTCCAGAATGCTGTGCCCTCTGCCCACACAGAAGCTGGAAGCTCAGAGCTGGGCTCTGGGGAATCAGAGAGAAAACAAATGCCATCCCAGAAGTGGAAACCAGCTGAGTGTGGACTTGAGCTTCCTTGGGAAAGAGTTTGGATCATCATACTAAGGCGCTCCCGTGACCTTCAGGATGGCGTGTGAGGCTCGCTGGGGCTACGAAAACAGACAAAGCATGACCCCGCCCTCAAGGGCTGGCTCCCTCGCTGGGTAGGCAAGACAGATGGAGGACGCCAAGGATTACCTGGTGGGAAGTGCTGGGAGGTCTTCCAGGAAAGGCCTCTCAGCGGCTATGGGCATCCAGCTGGGGCTGGAAGACCGAGACGTGACCGCCACTGTGCCCAGTCTTAAGAGGACCCACTGTGTGTCTGTGCTTTGCTGGGAGATAGGGGTGCATAGATGACAGAGACGCAGCCCTGCCTGCCGGAGCTTGGAGTCTAGTCCATGGAGCCCAGATGTGCCTGGCAAAGGCTGAACTGGGGGCAGCTACTGAAGAACAGCAGCGCAGAGGCAATGGGGCAGGAGCTGGGCTTTGAAGAATGGACAGGAGTTCACAGACCTCATGCCCAGGAAAGGCAGGGGCACGCGCAAAGGCCTGGGGACGCGAGAACAATGCAGACACTGAAGTGACATTGAGGACGGCAAGTGTGTGACCACGAGACCCTCTGCCAAGCGTCACGTGTGTTGTTTCCTTCATTCCTCACAGCAGCCCTTGTTTTGCAGAGAAGACTAAGACCCCGGGGTTCACTAGAAATCAAAGGAGAACCATCTAGAACTCAGGACAGCTGTTCCCTGAAGCCCACACTCTCATCCATCAGGTGAAGAGGGTTAGAGGCTGAGCATATCGGGTAGGGCTGAGCGTGGGTGGAGAGCCGGGGATGGGCGAGATGCGGCGGGGCCTCACTGCCCGTGCCCAGGAGCAGCCCAGCCGACCTCAGCTCTTCCGGCTGGATAGTTGAAAACACGGCAGAGTCGACTAAACACCAAGGAGAATCCTTCGAAGACAAGACGGATCAGTCAAGTTCCCAGTTCAAGAGAAAAGGACTTGAAGGTAAGAGGGGGCTGGAAACGCCGCCGAAGCAGAGTTAGTCATTCTGCTGCCACGGGCTGGGGGGCGCCAGCATGAGAAAGCAGAGTCTGTGCCACCCGGGCCCTAGGCCTGCCCGGGACATTTGTGGGGCCTCTGGTGAGTCAAAGGACAAGTATCCACGCTGCGCCCGATATTTAAGTTTCGTGTCACATTCCACAAGCGTTAAATATCATCCCTTCTGTCCGGCCCGGGGAGCGGCACCCTCGGAGCTGCACTTTCCCGCGTGCAGATTGGACCGCGACAGTAAGTTTGAAAAAGTCAGTTTATCTCCTCATCCTGGCGGAATCCCTTCCTCGCGAGGCTGGGGGAGGGCTGGGTGCTCGTGGAGTTCTGTGCTAGAAACGGCAACACGTGGAGGTCCAGCCCCCAGTCTGCAGTCCGCTCCACCCCCCCTGACACCCCAACTGAATCTCCCAGCTCTGCCGACAACCCCTGCCGAGGCCTCTCTTCGACCACCTTCGGGCGGAGAGACACCCACGCCAGCAGCGCCGCCTGTCCGGAGAGGCTCAGGCCCAGACAGAGGTCTGCCCAGGCCAGAAGCAGTGCGTGCCGCTGGGGCGAGCAACCTCAAGAACCCAAATACTTGGAGCTGGTTAGGGGGGCTGTGGGTATAACCCCTTGGCCCGGGACCACTTGCTCTGCAGAGGGGCATGGCCTTCAGATGCCAGAGGGGAGCCCTGAAAACTGAAGGGCTGGAGCAGGGACCCTACACCTGGAGCTAAAGGCCTATCCATGGGTGACGGCACTTGGCAAGAAGGTGCAGAGAAGCTGGAGGGAGCACAGAAGTGAGAATCAGGTGGTGAGGGGTGTGGGGAGGCTGGGTCTCTGGGTGTGACTGCTCTGGAAAAGGGGAGACACAGAGAGGGGTCAGCCTGGTCCCAAAACCATGTGGTCCCAAGAGTCTGCAGTGGTGCTCCCATCCCTGGGAGACCAAACAGGGCTTGGACTAAGTTGGAAAGATGGCTGGGGCGCAGACCTGGGAGGGCTGTCCTGGCTGTCAGGATGAGGTGAGGTACGGCGTCACTAAGGGGGCGGGGTGGGGGGCGGCTGTGGCTGACATGGCTGAAGCTCCAACACTTGCCAGTGGGAGAGCCTTGTGCAATGGAGGCTCCCAGGACCTGCGTGTCCATCTCTGTGGAAGGGGGTGACGAGAGAATGTGCTCCCCGAGGTTGTCAGGAGAATGTGTGTGTTTCCTCGGTGCACGCCAGAAACCGTGAAAAATTAGCAGGCCATTAAATCCTCTCCTCTGCTTGCTTCCTGGCTCTTGGGCTCTGAGAATTGCAGTTT